AGTGCGGGCAGGGCCCAGATGGCCCGGACTTCGCCCCGAGGCCCTCCTCAGCTGGTGTGTTCTGAGGGGCACACGAGGTGGAGCAGTCAACCCGGGGGTCCTCCAGGGCAAGCCCACCCTGCTGCAGAAGAGGGTGGGGCCCGAGGTGGTCGAGGGGCAGCAGCTGAAACCACACGTGTGGTCAACCACCCCAACGGCGGTGGGCGGTGGGCCGTGGCCGGGGCTCCCGTGGCCTGGACTGCCCGAACGCGGTGGATGAGTCCACGCGCCGTCAGCTTGGGCGCTGGCACCAGTCTGTCCGGTTCCTCTGCGTCCTAGTCTGCTGAGTCTGGAGAGACACGCTGGCCCGTGGCCAGCATCCTGGACAGTGGGTGGCTGCCTGTGGCCCGCGCCAAGAACGTTGGAGGCCAGCTTCGGCTGCCTTTGCTGAGAGTGGGGCACCCGTAGGGTCTGGCTGAAAGGACAAGGATGTTGCTCTCGGGTCTGTGGGCCCAGCACACCCTGAACCTGGGTGCTCCTCACCGAACATGCTGCTCTTGGAGGTGTTGCCGTGCCGCCTGCGTCTCCTGAGAAGCCGGCTGGTTTCCTGGGCGCGGGACGTCACAGGCCGGATGGAGGTCTCCACGCAGAGGCAGCTCTGGTCAGCCCTTCTCAGTGCGCTGTGATGCACCTCGGCTGCCAGCGGCCAACACACGGTGGGCGCTCGGGGAAGGCCTCCACCCGGCCCACGTGCTGCGTGCTCAGCTCTGGGGAGCCCTAAAGCGCCCCTCCTGCTTGGCTCCAGGGGCCAGGGCTTCCAGCGAGCGCGGGCCGCCCGTGTGGCACCAGGCAGCTTGCCCACCTGTGCAGTTTCTTCATCCGCGAAACGGGGCCACTGAGAGCATCCGTCTTCTGGACTATGAAGCAGTCGCATGTGTTAAGTGCTTAGGAAAGCGCCTGGCCGTGGTAGACGCTGGTGGACGCCGGGCACAGTGGGCTCAGCCCCGGGCCTTCCGCTCCACCCCTGCGTGCAGCAGCTAGAGCCACAGGGCAGCCCTTCAGTGGCCCCGTGAGCTCCTGTTTTCCTGCTGGCGGATCCTGTGGCTTCAGTCACTGTCTGTCTGGCGGGTCTCCCAGGTGACCTCCTACAGCTTAGAGCTCTTTCTGGTAAAAGCGATAGCTTCCCTTTCTCCACGGCACCAAGCTGAGGCCATTAGCTGCCTTTGAACTGAGTCCCCTCACAGAATTTCCAGGGAAATAGCGAAACATCTGCAGGAGGAGGAGGAAGGCATTAGCAAGCCTCCCCCGCTGCCCACTGCCCCACCATCCCCTGGCTCCTGCACTTACGGCATGTGGCTGCGCTCGGTGGGCGGTCTCTCTAGCCCGTTTCATTTTGGAGCAAGCCCCAGACGTCATGATTTCATCTGTCCCTATCTCAGAACGTGTCTCTAAGAGACGGCGACTGCTTTTTAATAATAAAATAATAATACCAGTATCACACCTACAAATGGAGCAATTCCTTAATATGCAGCGTGGAAAGTTTTTTTCCTGTTTGGATCAGGATCTACAGGTAAGACCAACGTGCTGTGATTCCTGAGTTGGCCCCGTGAAAAGGCATAAAAGAAGGAAAGAGCCTCCCTCTACCACGGCTTCTCTCAGCAATTTACACGTGAAGAAACTGGCTCATTTGTCATGGGTAGTTCGGTGTCACCCGGCTCTCTGCTGCTTCTGTGCGCACGCTGTTTGTCATCCAGCGCCGTCCTCTAATTCGTGTGTTCCCAGTCAACGTGAACTTGAATGTGGAGCTGAACCCTCCCTGGGAGGTGGTGCGATGGCCTCGTCTGTGGCCGGTGTTCGTGCTGTTGGCCGCGGCAGGTGAACAGCGCCCCCGATCCCTGACCCATTAGGAGGACAGAATGGCGGTGCTCAAGTTCCTGCCGCACGCAGTAGCCGGAGACCCCGTGCAGGCTGCCCCTCGGATCTTCTGTGTTTTTACCTCGCGGAACGGCAGAACAAATGCTTGATGTGGTTTTTGTGTGTGTGTGTGCTTTTTTTGTTTTTTTTTTTTTTCCTCCCTTTATTTGCCAGGTTCAGACCCTGCCCCCTGCAGTGGCATCCTGCAAGCCAGAGGGAGTTTGCTTCCTGGGACACAGATCTGGGCTTGTTCTTTCTTATTTTTTGTTTTAAGGGTTGCCGTTGTTTTTAAAAAGATTTTATTTATTTTTTTGACAGAGAGAGTGTATAAGCAGGGGGACTGGCAGGTAGAGGGAGAAACAGGCTCCCGTTGAGCAGAGAGCTCAATCCCAGAACCCTGGGATCATGACCTGAGCTGAAGGCAGACGCCCAAACAACCAAGTCCCCCAGGCGTCCCTGGGCTTGTTCCTTCTGAGTCCAGATCCCCCTGTAGACACCTCTGCCCCCAGGATGTGACCAAGGCCCATCTCTCCAGGTCACCTTTTGCCAGTGCAGTCCTCCCTCCCTTTCCAGCTATAGCCATCTGGACTCTTGGGGCTCTAGGAAGGTCTGTGCTGTGGCCTGTGCAGCTTCCCTCCACCCCCTTCTTGACTGACTCATGGCCCCTCTCTAACCCTAACCCTAACCCTTCAAGGTGGCCCCCTGTCCACCCCCACTGTTGGGTCATGCTCTGCTTTTGCCTATCTTAACGTCTCATTCCTTGGACAAAAATGTCCTGAGTGCAGGATGGGTCCCCACAGCACCTGCCTCCGAGGGGTTCCCAGGTTGGTGGGGACACCGCCCCGTGGCGACAAGTGCCTCCGTGAGGTTGGCAGGAACCGTGCAGGCATGGGGACTGGGGGCGTGAGCTGTATTCAGGGGTCCGGTAGAGTTTGATATGGGGGCTTCTTTCTCTTCCTTAGCAAGCAGTTGGAAAGCAGCTGGCCGGCGGCCCTGGAGCAGAGATCCCCATGGCCCGCCTGCACACTCTTCCCGGGATTGCCAACCCTCCACGTAGGCAGGAGGAAGAATGATGCCGAGCCTTCCTCTCTACACTGAGTGTTTGACTTGGGAAGGCCAGCGCTCCCTAGGCCGACCTCCTCACCTCTCTCATCACTTAGACCAGGCCACATGTCCTCCTCGGGCCAGGGGAACAGTTTCCAAGTCTGCTTTAGATGGGCCGGGGGTGGAAACCATTCCTGCTGACCCTGAGAGCTGCTGGGGGGAGGACAAGGCCCGAGTTACCTCTCTGGTTGGCACTACCTTGGGAAGGCCTCTTTACATGTCTTCTCTGTACAGGCTTGAGGTCCCAGAAGGCAGAGTCTGTGTCTCTTTCATTCAACAGGTGCACCTTCTCCTTGTGGCCTAAATGGGGGGGGAAGGGGGCAAGTTGTCCACACGTAACTGCAGGACCCCACTTCTGTCCCCTTTATTCAGACACGGGCACAGGGCAGGCCAGCTTCCCACGCCCAGGTGTCGCCCACCCATCAGAGCTTAAAAAACCCAGCATGGCTCACATAAACTGTGCAACCGCTGGCCGGGGAGACGGAGGAGGAGGGGGAGGGGGTGAGGCGGCCTGAGCCCCTGGCTGCAGTCAGAGTGGCAGGAATGAGGCTCAGCCCCGGCCTCTGCTCACTTTTCCCTCCAGGACTATGACCCTGCTGGTCTGGGTAGAGGGAAGGGTGGAAAAAAGAGTGTGGGCATGCCTACGTGGGAGGCTCCATGCTTCTCTTCCTTACCCCTGCCTGCCCCATCCTGAAGTGAGAGCCCCTTCACCAGCACCCCGGCTCCTAGGTTTTCTCTCTTGCTGGAGAGCATTTTTAAAAATTGCCTATAATTCACATATCAGAAAATTCCCTTTTAAAGCGTCCAAAGTCCATGGTTTTTTAGTATATTCACAGTGTTGTGTGGCCATCAGTCTTCTAATTCTAGAACATTCCATCACCCCAGAAAACAGCCTCATCCCCACCAGCAGTCACTCCTCATCCCTAGGCCCCTGGTTCCTGACAACTACAAGTTCCCCTCCTGTCCGTGGAGGGGCCTGTACTAGACGTGTCACACGTGTGGACTTACACCCTGTGTGGCCTTCTGCGTCTGAGCATCGTGGGCTCAGGGTCTGTCCCCCCGGGGAACACCTTGTTGGCGTCTCACTCCTGTTCGTGGCTGAGAGACGCACCTGTGCGTGGAGAGACGCGTTACGTTCATCCGTGGTGACACTGGGGTTGCGTCCACTTTGGACTGTGGTGAATCTGGCTGTGCTGCAGACACGGATGTACTAGTGTTCGTGTGAACGTGTTTTCATTTCTCTTGGCTGTGTAATCAGGAGAGGCGTATGGGGCGGTTACTGTGCAGCAGACGTGGGGAGGGGCCCCCCAATGGCCCTCGGGAGTGACGGCCGTGGGCATGGGGCAGGGACGGCACGCTCCAGGGGCACGCATGGGGCGCCCGTGCCCCACGTCCTTGCCGCCACTTGAGATTTCCCACTTCGTAGAGTGGCCGCGCTGGGGGCTGGGAGGTGTGGTCTCGTGGTTCGGACCGGCCTGTCCCCGGTCATCGGTGATGGTGGGCATCTTCTCGTGTGCCTGTCGGCCATTTGGACGTCTTTGGAGCTGCCCCCCACTCCTCCAGGAAGGGAACACGGGGTGGAGACTGGGGGGGTCTCAGGCCTCGGAGCCTGGACTCGGGCCCCCATACTGCCCCTTGTCAGCCGAGTCTCGAAGCCTCGGTGTCTCCGTTTGTTGATGGGTGCCGTGAGGGTCGAAGGAGGGGGCTTCTCCACCAGCAGGAGTATTTCCAGTAACCGTCTGAGAACATCATTTTTCATGGTCTGTGTTTCTCTCGTGGAGCCTGCTTTGCTGGGTGCAGAGCAAATAGTAAGTTAATTTATTTTGGATAACGGAATAGAGAAGGAGGCGCACGAGAGAAGCAGATAAGGGCCTGGGGGGAGAGACGGGGAGGCCTGGCACAGGAGGGGGAGAGGGCCACCGGCGGGGCGTGTGTCCTGTGGCTGTCCCCATGGCCTCCTGCCCGCCCCTCTGAGGTGAACTTCCTTGTCTTCTTTGTTGAAGGAGGAGCCCCGGAAGGTTTGCTTCACCTATGACCTGTTCCTGAACCTGGAGGGCAACCCGCCTGTGAACCACCTGCGCTGTGAGAAGCTCACCTTCAACAACCCCACCGTCGAGTTCCGGTACAAGCTGCTGATGGCTGGCGGGGTGAGTGAGCCCCCACTCAGATGGGCACCGGGGGCGCCGGCCGCTCGGGCGTAGTGCTGCACAGCTGCTGGTGTGCGGCAGCCTCGGTGCTGGGGGGCCTGTGGGGTTCCCAGGCCCGTCTCTTCTGCGTCGTTGGGTGCCCGAGACCTGGAGGGGCGGCCGCCGTGCGTCGGATCCGGGTCCCGAGTCGGTGCTGGGGCGTTGTCCTCTGTGAACGACTAGTGACTAGTTACCCGCAGAGTTTCCTGGTTGACTGTGGTTAATTAGCATCTTTCTCCATGGGAAGGAGGGGTGGGAGGAACGGGCATGGGGCCAGGCTGTGAGCGTGGCGAGGCGCAGGAGCCAGCTTTGAACCGGATTGGCAAGGCTGGGCTGGGACTGCGTCATCTGGGGAAACAGCGGGGGCTCCCTGTGGGGTTCCCTGGTGATGCGAGTTGCCTGGCGGTTTTGTCCGAGTGAGGCCAGGCAGAGGCGTCAGCTCTCGGAACCCAGGCCTCTTGGCTGGGCATCCGTGTGTGGTGGCTGCGTGCTGGGAGCACGGTTGAGAACCGGAGGAGGGGTGCTTGGTGTAGATGGGATGCTTGGGTGTGGAGGAGGAGGGGTGCTTTGGGAGAGGCTGGACCATGTGTGCCGAGGGAGGGCCAGGCTGAGGACGCGGGGCATCCCAGAGCCCCCTGTTGGCACCCCAGCATTGCTGGGCATTTGCCCAGCTGCCAGCCAGGAGGGCACGGGTACTGGCTGCAAGTGCGGGTGCGCATGGTGGGCCTGGCCGCCCCCCTGGGAGCACAGGAGTCTGGTTGGGCTTCTGTAGGCCTCCAGAGCAATCCTTTCTGACTCAGCTGGGGCTTTTACGCTTTGTTTTTCTTTTTTTTTTTTTTTTTTTAAAGATTTTATTTATTTGACAGAGATCACAAGTAGGCAGACAGGCAGGCAGAGAGAGGGAGAAGCAGGCTCCCTGCAGAGCAGAGAGCCCGATGTGGGGCTCGATCCCAGGACCCTGAGATCATGACCTGAGCCGAAGGCAGAGGCTTAACCCACTGAGCCACCCAGGCGCCCCTGTTTTTCTTTTTTAATAAAGGCACTCACTTATTCATTGTAGAGAATTTGATTATGTTCTGCCAGGTTCCTTATAAAAAATGAGTGTGCGATTATCATCCAGCACGTGACGGCTGATGGGAACAAACAGGGAGGTGCTGGAACCCGTTCACAGAGGCATGTGTCCTGAAGTTTGCCAGGCGTCCCGGAAGAGCCGAGGAAGTGGGCGGGGCTGCCGAAGTCCGGGCTGCTCCCCAGCTCGGCTTGGCCACCTTCTTTCCGTAGCCGGACGCTCCCAGAGCATGTCTCCCAGAGGCTGCGTAGTCAGCCTGGCTTTGGGAGGCACACGGCGCTTAGCATTCCTGGTCTCCCAGAGCTCCGGGACCCCGGAGGGACTGTCCCCCGCTGCCCCCTGCGTAAGGAGGTTTTCTTTGCTAAGAAAAGATGAAGGCTCGATGTGCATCATCAAAACATATAAAACTGGAGGGCGGAGGCGGCGACGGGGAGAGGTTGGGAGTGCAGGTCCGGCGAGCCGTTGGGAAGGGCCAGTCGTGGAAGGAGGAGGCAGAGCCTGGCACGGTGGTCTCTGCCCGGTGCTTCTCACCCCAGGGAGGGCCACCTGGAGAACTGAATGGTTGGTTAGGAACTTTCTCACCCTTTGGGGCTGTAGGCCTCTGGGGCTTGCCCTGGGCTGATAGCAGAGCAGGGCTCTCCGGTCTTAGGGCAGCTGGAGCCCTGGATAGGATAGTAGCTCCCAGCACGTGAGTCGTGGTCCTCCTGTGCCTTCTGAGTGGAGCATCCCCATTGGGGCTGGCATTTGCCGCCTTGTGGCAGATGACCTCAGACCCGCCCGAGTTGATGTTGGTGCCGAGAAAACTGAAGTCGCGAGCCGAACCATAGGTTGGTGAGACCTGCCTTGCTGGCCGCCCCTCTGCCGGCGGTCTCCTGGAGCCCTGTGACCCCTCGCCCGAGCTGCGGGCACCTGCTCCGCAGTGGCCAGATGAGCTGTGGTCCTTGCTGGGTGGTCAGAGGCCTGTCCCCTCAGCTTGCCCCATCGGCAGTTGAGCTGCACGGAATAGAAGCTCCTTCTGCGACCGAGGGTCTGTATTTCCGTCGGGTGTGATGGGTCCTCACGAGGTGTGGCAGCAGAGGTGGAAGGCGTTCTATTGGCTCACTTGACCTCTCTCAGAGGGCTGCTGTTATGGGGGACAGGGACAGGAGAGGCGATTGCTTTACTGTCCGGGAGCCGTGTCCAGCCGGGACAGTCATTAGAAGGGAGAGAAGAGGCCTGAAGGCGAGAGTGGCAGGAAATGCGAGTGAAGGAGCTTGGGGACCTGTCTGTGCCTCTGGGTCGGGTTGTAGTTGCTTCTCTGTGTCCGGCGAGTCCTTGCAAGCCTGGAACATGGGGCTCTGCCCGTGGCCTGGGCTGTCGGCTGGGCTCCGGGTGCCATGGCCAGAGTGTTGTGCTCGGACAGGCCGTGGGGAGCCACCGGGGAGTCGGGGGGCCATGGGGCGGGGGCACGAGGGGCTTTGCTGTGCTGCTTTCAACCCCGTGGCCCTTGACGCCAGCCTCCTCAGAGGAAGGGTTTGGCTGGTCAAGGAATCCCAGGTGCTCAAGGTTATTAATGATGCTTTTTCTACGGAGCTAAATGCTTTCCCCCTCTTTTTTCCATTTTTCCTTTTTTTTTTTTTTTTTTTTTTTTTACTGTGCACTCTATTCCTTTGTTGTGTCCCGTCGCTGTCTGGAAGGTTCCCTCTGAGTGGCTGGCCACTGCTCATGTTAACGTGTGGTGTCAGTATTCGGACGACCTGCCCCCAAGCCTTCTCTCCTTCAGCACATGCGGCCGGCGCCCAGGAGCCACACTGAACTCGGCCAGTGTTTCCCGGGAGCACCTCCTGGCAGGACCCCAGGCCCTTCCTCCTGGTAGCAGTTGGCTGACCTAGCCGAGCCGGGTGCCCGCCGCTCTCCCCCACAGGCTCGTGCTGCGGCTTTTGCAGAGAGCTGCCCCCACCCCTGTGCAGTTCCCTCCTGCCGCTGCATCCCATGCTGCTGGTTCGTCAATCACCTCCACCTGCTGGACCGCGGAGGAGGGCGCCTCCCCCCCTCGGCCCCCAGAGATGGGGGACCCGGCCATCCACAGTTGCTCGCTCTGCCGCGCGGCTGCCCAGTGTGGGTGTCTGGCTGGCCTCTTGCCTTTCCAAACCGTGCTTCTGGTCCTTCTAAACTGCAGCGTGCAGGTCAGCTTGGGCCACAGCTGCCTTCTCGTGCTTCTCGGCACGCTCCGCCAGTCTTCCCGGCCTGGCCCTCCTGTCTGCCATGCTCTGGGCTCTCCTTCTAGAGGCCATGCGGCCACACCAGGGCCCAGCCATCCTGGGACCCTGGCTTCTCTTCGCTCTACGCCTCGAGCCCGCTTTGCTCCAAGCACTCAGCCCCCAGCCCCTCGTGGAGGACAAGCCTTCGATTCTTTGGGAAAAGTGGCCTCCGGCCGTCCCTTGCTCCTCCGCCAGAAGGCGCTCCCACAGCCTCCGGCCAGGCTCCTGAAGGCTGACTTTCTCTTGCCGGTCAGAAATCCAGCCTGCCTCCTTGCTCACTGATAACGTCTGTCTCTTCTTTATCACTAGGTGATGGTAATGCCCGAAGGAGCAGAAACGGTGTCCAGGCCCAGCCCCGACTACCCCATGTTACCCACAATTCCACTCTCTGCCTTCTCTGACCCCAAGAAGACCAAACCGTCCCACGGCTCCAAGGTTAGTGAGGCGGAAGGCCCAGTCACGTGGGAGCGCTGGGGCCCAGTGGTGGGTCCTGGGCTCAGGGCGCCCCCTCTGCAGAGCTGGACCTTCCGTTCCCAGACTCGCTCCCTTGGCATCTTCCTCTTGGAGCGCTTGGCTCCACCGGACAGCTCCCTGCCGTCGCGGAGGGTCAGCGCCTTCGGGAGTGCGGACAGCTGCGGGACTGCAGGCTCCTCGTGCTCTTCCTCTTAAAGCCAGAGAGCCCGCCCCGTCCTCGCTGCTCCCACTGTGTCCATGGGCCTTAGGACCCTTCAGATAGGACCCCAAGAGTCTCACGTGGTTGGGGGCCACGGACAGAGCGTTTGCGTGACAGCCACGGCCATCCAGCTCCCAGGCCTCCTGAGCGTGGCCAGAATGCCCCATCTGCTGGGGCTGGGTGCCTCCTCCCCGGGCTGTTCCAGGCTTGGCCTCTTTCTTTGGGAGCAGCTCTCGGCGCAGACTGCTTATTTAGGGGAAGGGCCAGGTGGGACAATGTGGTGAGGAGGCTCATTTCCCCCAAGAAGAAACATTTTTGTCTCTTGTCTCCGTCCTATTGGGCAGGCGGCACTGTGCCTCCCCGAGACCTCTCTCTGAACTGTTAAGGAGTGGTCACGGGAGCCCTTCGGATAGGGTCCTGATGTGCATACAAGCTCGTGAGTGTGCGTCCCATTCCCCTGTAGCTGCCTACGCGGCTCTGTGTCCTGGAGGTCAAGCTCATCGGGCGCTCGGGGCACCTGCCTGTCCTCCCACCTCCGACCGCACGGGTTTGTCCACTTTGCATCTTTGTGTTTCTCTTGCTTCACTCACTTGTTGGGTGCTGTGGGCTTGGGGCACCCCAGGTAACCTGGGCGGAGCTCTCGGCCTGTCTTACAGCTCTCCTTGTCAGCAACCCGGAGGAGAGCTGCATCACCCAGGCAGGGTCTTTCTGGCACTTTCCACAAGGCCAGTGGGTTTCTGACATCCTGGATTTGTCTGACTTACGCGGTCCAGATGTGTGTGGCTGGAGTCCAGGCACAGCTGCAGCTCAGGGATTCTCTCCCCCCCTGGGCCTGTCCTTCCCCTTCGCGCGTGGAGGGGAAAAGGAAGAAAAACTCTTGCAGGAGATCTGGTGGCTTCTCTCTCAGCCGTCCACAGTTATTTGGGGCTCTGCGGAATGGGGGTAGTAGGAACTGACATGTCTTCTGTGTCACTCGCAGGCCACCCAGACGCCGCGAGGGAATGCCCTCCTGGGTGGCCAGGACACCGCCGGGGCTGACAGGGCTGCATCTGCTAGGTCTGCTCGCAGCCTCTCTCGCCAGGGTCTTTGAGATCCCCAGGAGCCCCCAGGCCGGAAGTGCGTGTCTGGGGGTGGGGCGGTGTTCACGGCGCACCCCCCACCCCGTCTGTGCCCCCAGGCTCTTTCTCCCCTCAGGCGCTGTGACCGAGGAGGCGCCTGCACGGGGTTTCCTCAGGCAGCCAAAGGCGGGATCTTCTCTGCCGATGGCTCTCCAGCCTTCTGCCTCTGAGCCGGCAGTCTCACTCTCCTCGGAGGGCACAGCCTTTGTGCCAGCCTCTCTGTCCAGCGGAGGACCTTCCTTTGGGCACCGGCTGTTCTCCCCCAGATTGCTTCTCTGCAGCCTGGAGCCAAAAGGTCCGATCGGCCAGGCCACACACTCTGGGCAGAGGGGGCTGGGGGGGAAGGCGGGGCTCCTCGTAGGACCTTGCCCACTGGCCTGCGGATCGTTCCCCGACAGTTCTGCCCATAGAGGGCGCCCTGCCAGGCAGGGATTGGAGCCTCCTGGGAGCGGGGTGGGCCCCTGGGAGGCTCACACTCCCATAGGGGTGGTGCCCTCTGGCGCCCGCCCAGCAGCTCCCCTGGACCGCACATGTGGGGCTTCACGGGCACCTGCACCTCAGTCTGATGGCGCCGCTTGGCCCACCTGACCTCTCTCTAAAGCTTGGTTCTTAGTCATTTTGGGGGTCACTAACAGCTTTGAGAATATGAGTGTGATGAGTCTTTACGCCTGGGAATATCTACATTATGCTCAAATTAGTGTGTGATTTCACAGAGCCCATGATCTGGGGGTCCATGTGCAGCCCCCCCACCCCCCACCCCCCGCCCCCGGTGAAGAACTGCTGCTGCAAAGGCCCTGGGTGGCTGTGGAGGCAGGGTGGACCCCAGGGCTCGGGGCTGGGGAGCTGGGAGGTGGCATGATGGGAACTACATTGGAGGCATCGGCCAATGTGCCTGTTGGCTCTGCTTTGCCCCACCTCTCGGCCCTCAGACCGGTTTGTGCAGCCCAAGTACCACATGGGCACTGCAGGAAGAGGCCGGAATGGCATGTGGAGTTTGCTTCTTGCCTCCCTCCTTGGGGGAGCAGCTTGCTGGGGCGTGGAGCCCCGTTATGCAAGCCAGCCCCAAGGGGGGCTGCCCGTTAGACGGGCTGCTAGGGGCTCGTGCTGTGAGCATCCCTTCCCCCGGCCCTGGTGACATAAGAGCTGGGGCCACAGCCCCCAGGGCGATGTTTCTCCAGGGAGGTGGCAGCAACTCACGGCCATGTGGGGCTGTCCCCGGACCTTTGGCACTGATGTAGGTTATCGATTTGCAAGAAGACGGTGACCCAAGTGGATCAGAGGTGGTCAAGCCTGCGCCTTCTGTCCCTGTGGCTCTCTGCTGGGAGGGTCCCATTGCGGCCTGTGGGAGCAGCAGGGCCCTTGCTGCTGGGGGTTTTCCTGCCCTCTCCTGCGTGCTCCAGGCTGTCCCCTTGGCACTTGGGGTGAACCGGTGAAATGTGGCTGCCTGCGTGGTGCAGGTCACCCTCTGGTCTGGCTCTCTTGGTTTCCTGGTGTCCTTCGTTCTGCAGAGCCTTGGGGCTCCACTGTGCACCTGGCCACCTGAGTGGGCCAGAGCCCTTAGCGGCTGACCGCAGCAGGCTCCTGTCTGGCGTACCCACATATACAGGGTGATGGGGGGTTTTGATAGGAAGGAAGCCCAAACAAGGTGTCCCATAGGGTCTTGCCTGCGGACTGCGCCAGCTGCTCGGGGCGGCGGGGGGTTGGTGGCCGTGACCACAGCCCCCTCTCGGTTGAGTGCTTGCTGCCTTCCGGGCCCTGCGCCATTGCCCAGTGAGGTAGGTGGTCCTGCCCTCGTTCAGAGGAAGCCTAGGTGTGCAGGGTTGGAGCCCTCAGCCCAGCCTTCTCAGCAGCCCGGCTCAGGGCCCCTCTCTGCTTCCATCCCAGGAGGGAGCTCCGTGACCTGGTGGGCCAACGCTAGAGTCTGGGCTCCACCCTCAACCCTCTGAATTTCCAAGGTGGACACCCAGGAGTCGTGCGTGTTTTAGAGACACTGCCCAGGTGGCTTTGATTCCGAGAGGTCTAGGAGCTGTTCCACACAGGGCCTGGGAATCCAGAAGGTGCTCAGTAAATGCTGGCCATGGGGGTCAAAGAACAGCTGTGCTGGGTCTGCACTGGGGCTGGGGTGGGGGTGACCGGGCAGGAGGCGCGTAGGCTCTGTGTGGGGACAGAAGAGGGGGCGCCCGCCTGCTGGTGCCCCCCGGCCCCTCCCCAACACCACGCGCAGCCTCCACTCGCCTGGGCCGCGGGGAAGCTGCGAGGTGCCGGAGTGGGAGTGGGTCGATGTGGCTTGCCTGTCTCATATCTGACTCACCGTGTGCTCTTCTTGAATCCCTCAGGGAATGTCAGTTCAATTCAGAGGGGAATCTTAGCCTGCAGTCGCCTGGGACCTGCTGACACTTCCTAGTAGTTTAAAGGGACAGCTCCATTTAAAACTCTCACCTGCTGCCTTACTTTTTCGCTTTATGGAAGATTTTCTCTAGCTGAGTCTGAATCAGGTGGATTATACTTTGTAGGGGTCGGGGGAGGCGGAGCAGGGCGGCCCCGAGATGCCATCTGACCGTGTCTTTCCCCCTCCTGCCCGGCATTTCAGGACGCCAGCAGGGAGAGCAGCAAGGCCTGCAAGACCCACAAGACCGCCAAGGAGCACCGGGAGCGGCCGCGCAAGGACTCCGAGGGCAAGGCCCCGTCCAAGGAGCCGGAGCGCGAACAGGCCAGGAGCGCCAAGGACGCTGCGCGGAAGCTGGGCGAAGGCCGGCCACCCAAGGAAGAGAAGGCCCCACCGGCCAAGGCCGCGTTCAAGGAGCCCAAGATGGCCCTGAAGGAGACCAAACTGGAGAGCATGTCCCCCAAGGGCGGGGCCCCCCCCCCCCCCCCCCCCCCCAAGTCTTCCAGCAAGCGGCCAGCCGCCGCCGACTCCCCCAAGCCCAGCGCCAAAAAGCAGAAGAAGAGCAGCTCCAAGGGGTCCAGGAGCGCCCCCAGCACCTCGCCCCGCACCTCGTCTTCCTCCTTCTCGGACAAAAAGCCAGCCAAGGACAAGGGCAGCGCCAAAGGGGAGAAGGTCAAGACCGAGAGTGAGCCCAGGGAGATCAAAAAGCCCCCAGAGGTGGAGGAGTCCAACTCGGAGGACGAAGCCTCCTTCAAGACAGAGGTGAGGCGGCGCCTTCCCCGCCCTCCCCACCTTCCACCTCCTCCCCCTGCCCACATCGCCCTCTCTCTCCTGGGCCTGAGCCACTTGAAGCCTGTCGGCCCGAAGGTCACATGAGGAGGCTGGGGTCCGGGGTCCCCACTTGCTCTTTGTAGCTTTGGGCAAACCTCCATACCTCGCCGAGCCTCAGTTTCCCCTCTGGTCAGGCAAGCTAGAGACGGTGCTTAGGGAAGAAGGGTTTTGGTGCTTGGTTCAGAGCCCTCTTCTGTGGACAGCTCCCTGCATGGGCCAGGGTCTTGGGGACCGATCATGGGTCACCGCGGCGCCTTCCTTGGCCACCGCAGGGTCATTCCGTCCGGAGACTCGCTCCCCCTGCTCCTGGGGCATCCTTGAGCGCTCTTCTGGTCTGGGAACTGCAGCTGGCCGCTGGGCCTCCCCACCCAGCCTCACCACCTCCCCACCTGCCCTCCCCTCTCACCACCTGCTCTTGTGCTCGCAGTTCGCAGCTCCTGCCGCAGCAGCTTTTCTAGGCAGCACTGAAGGTCGCCGTTAGAGACGGCGGGGTCGTGGGGCAGCCGGTAGCCAGATGGCTGCCTGGGGAGCCAGACCTCCCAGGGGCCTCTGGGGGCGTCCCCCCCCACTGCTGTGTGGCATCTGGGGGTCAGAGGACAGGTGCTTGGCTGGAGGAGTGGCTGAGTGACCCCTAACTTGTGTCACCCGTCCCTGCCCCCACTGCCTTTTTGTGTTTCCAAATCCTCATTCACTGTGGGAGGCAGAAGCCTTGCCTCTGGTGTTGCCGCTCGGAGCTCTGCTGGGACTTGGAGAGCGGCTCCCGCGGGCAGACTGTCAAAGGTGATGGTGTAGGCTTGGGGCGACAGTTTGGCCCGTGGGTAACCATGTGCCCCGCTGGCTTAGGGGTACACACAGAGCTGTCAGTGACGTGTGCCCCACATTCCTCCATCTGCCAGTTACCTTGGAGCCCCCCGGGACGGGGCCTGTTCTATGGGAGCCCCCAGCAGTCCCGGGCCACAGCGGGAGCTCACTTGGCGGCTGGTAGCAGCTGTTCCGGCCGCCACTTCCTCCGTCCGCCCAGCACCTGCAGCTGTGGGCCGGTGCCCTTCCCTCCTCACCTCAGCTGCTTTCAGGCCAGGCCTTTCCGGGTGCAAGGCTGGCGGACCTGCACGGTGGGGGAGAGGTGGCACCCCCTCCCCTGGATGCCCCCTCCCCTGATCTGCACACGGTGACCTGCTCCTGGTGCCCAGGCCGCCTTCCCGGTGTGATCATCGTGAGCACTGGCAGGCTATGTGGGGCACTTCCTGCCCCTGGGGGTGGCTGCCCTGTATGGGCTGGCTGGACATCCGGGGTCTGTGGCCTTGGGCACTGTGTCCCAAGGCTGGAGTTGCTCGAGGAAGCCTGGGGGTTCTCCTGGCTAAAGAAGAGCTTCCCATGTCCCGAGAGACCTCTGAATGACAAGGCTTAGCTGTTGGAGGTCCCTGCATGTGTGAGATCCAAACCACCCACAGGACACCAGACAGTGGCTTGCGGGCATTTGCCAACCCTGGGACCGCAGTGAGGTGCAGATGCCTGATGGAGGAGGCGGGCTAGCCTTCCAGACACAGGCCTCCCCAGCCCTTGACCCTGGGGGCCATGTGAGGCACCAGCACCCAAAAGTTCTGACCGTGTGAGGACCCCGAGTTGCCGTTCCCCATAGCCCTCAGAGGTGGCCGGGTAGCTCCTTGTCTGTGGCCCTGGGCCCAGCTTCCCAGCCGCTCCGGTGGCTTTTCTCTACTCTCTTTGGCCCCTGGGGTTCCTGAGCCAGTGGCCCCCATCCAGTCACGCCCTCGGTGGCCCTCCACCCTCCTTCTGGACACTCCATGTGGCCTGAGGGCTGGGACACTTGGGCAGTGCTCACAGTGAGCCCCCGTGCACTTTCTGACCTACATCTCCTTTAGGCTCTTTCCGCTGAAACCATTTCTCAGTTCCCTTCCCCTGCCCTTTGGGTTGGCGTGGAAGGAAGAGGACAAGTCCTCCTGAGAAGGGCATCTTGCTGCTTGGCAGGGACAACACCAGTGCTTGCCTATCTGACACGGGGCCCAGGCCGGTCCCTGGGGGCTCCCCACATCCAGAGTTTGCTGACCTGAGTTCCCCAACCAGGCACTGCCACACCCCTGGTCTAGTACTCAGCCCTTACCGCCCACGTCCCTGGCCCAGTCCTGTCTGAATCCTGTGTCCCCAGAGGTCAGTGGCACAGTTGACCTCGAGCTCGGTGTGCTAACATCTAGTACAGACACACATTATAGCAAAGATCAGCAAAGTTGCTCTTTCATAGATAGGTAAACTGAGGCTGAAAACCAGAGGTGCTGATGAGAAAGCTAGGGTCTGAACCCAGCACACCTGCACCAGGGTAAGCGCTCCAGGGTCTGCGCGCCTGTGGGACTGCTCGGCTCTAGGCCTGTTGGGGTTTGGAGTTCATGCTGATGTGCGTCGCACGTCTTCGCTGGTCTGTGTTTGATGGCTGTCTAGGCTGGGTTTCCCAGCGAGGCCTCCCCAGGGAACATCACTGGCTGGTGGGAAGGCGGGTGAGGAGGGGGTACTCAGGGGTACGCCCATCACGAAGGCCTAGAGTGGCTTCCAGTGGGCTGTGCTAACCTGTAGAGAAAAAAACTTTAACTCGTCAGGCGAGAAGTGTTCTGGGCCTGGGCAGCCAGCATCACTCTGTGGGTCTCTGGGGTGAGTGAGGAATTGGGCCCTCCCAGGGCCCCTTCCTCGGGCTGGGGGCTGCCGTTGCTCCACGGGTCATCTCGAGGGGCTGTCCCGTCCTGCAGCAGGCCACGGGCTCTCATGCAGCGCCGGCTGGGACTGAACAGGCACTGCGGGCTGCCTACGCCTGTCTCCCGGCCCCCTCCTCCCTCCTTGTGACGGTGTGTGTGTTGTGGGGGGGGGGGCCTGGTCCCTGGTGCTGAAGCTGTCTCCCTTCAGAGGGTCCCCAGAGGCTAGAGAGGGCTGGACAGGCCTGGACAGGCCTGCTGGGGCCCCTGCACTCTGGGGGCGCTCCAGGCCGAGGCTCTGCTCTTCTGCCCTTTGGAACCCGTGCCCCTGGCCCACCGCCTCCTGGGCTGTCCCTTTGGAGTAGCTTTGCATGTGTTCCCCACGGCAGGTGCAACTCGCAAGTATCTTAACCCCCCATCAATCCTAAGGTCTGGTGTCCTACTTTGGCGTTTACTGCCCCCTGGTGGCTGGGCTTGGGGCGGCTGGCCCCCGGAAGAGGAAGGAGGAGGGGCTGTGACCCGCTGTAGCATGATGGGTCCAGCTCCCATCCACCGTGGCCTCACCCGCCTGTCATGTGCACACAGCCTCATCGTGCCCTCAGGCACATGGTGGGTGGTAGCACGTGGTGGGAAGACCGCTTTGGGTCATCCCTCAGTCTCGGGATGGGCTGTGAGGAAACAAGGGGGAGAAAGAGAAGATGGGTTTTGTACGCACCTTTGCCTTCAGCTGATCCCCACAGGACCACTGCCCACACCAGCCAGCGCATGCCGCCACCAGAGGAGGGCAGGGCCCACAAAGAGATGAGCTGCCACAGACGCACTGTCGTTCCCGTCCCCCCCACCCTCCAACCACCAACCCTTGCACAGCATTAAGAGCTTAACTAGTTCCCTGTCCTCCTGCCCCGGGGGATGGACGGACTGGTCATGTGATCTGCAGTTTGTCCTGGAACTGCTAGGAATTTCAAGTCCCTTCGTTGCATTTTGAATGCAAACTGGTGTCTTGGGACGAAGGGGGACCCAGAGTTTGTGTGAGCCTTGGGCCAAGGGTGCTGGGCTCTGATGCCTTGGTGACCCTTTGCCTCAGGGTCTGGGTGGAGACTGGCCAGGCGCTCCTGCATCCAGAGGGCATGTACTGCCCGCTCCTTCCCTCTGGACTGAAAGATTTTCTTGTTTTCTCTCCCTCTGCCCTGCCCATCCGCACTGCCCCGGGCTGAAGTCTGCACAGTCAAGCCCCTCCAATTCCAGCTCCAGCTCCGACTCGAGCTCGGACTCGGACTTCGAGCCTTCCCAGAACCACAGTCAAGGTGCGTGGTGCGGAGGGCGGGCGGGGGACGGGTCTCAGAGCCCGCGGAGTATTCTTGTGCATGGGCAGCCCCTGGCCGCCTGGAGCCACTGAGGCTCGGGGGACTGGGCTCCAGAGGACGTCACGACTGTCTTCTCCACACCGTTGACGTGCATGGGGGCTCGCTTCCTGCCTGAGCGTCCGTGCGCCCTGAGTCAACGCCAGAATCGTTCGTGGGCGCGCACGTGGGGCGGGTGATAGAGAAGGCCCCAGGTGACAGGAAGAGTGGGGGAGCCTGGCCCTGGACATTCCCAGACCAGGCCACCAGATGTGTGTCCGTAGGTTTGTGGAGGCTCAGGGCGACCAGATTAAAGAGCGACACAGAAGCAGCCCAGGCGTGAGAAGTGGGGCTCTTCCCGGCTCTTCCGTCCTTGGTGTTTGTCCCCAAGGGGGCCTCAGCTTTGCCTGCCTGTGGCCTTGGGCTTCTGGAGAGGGGCCCCTTTCTCATTTGGGCCCCATCCCTGAGCAGACACCCGTCCTTGCCAGTGCCCCTGCCCCCAGCAGATAGAGGCTTCATTTCCTCTGCCTAGCCCCCACCCCGTCCTCACCTCACCCCTGCCCCATCTTCACCCACCCCGTGCTCACCCCTCCCCCACCCCCTTCCCCTCCGGCCCCCACACCCATCCCCACGGCCACCTCCGCATCGCTCTAGGGGCAGGGCCGGAAACAGTCAGGCTCAGACCCCAGCAGTCTGCATTTCTGTCTTTTCCCTGCGTCCCTTTTGGGAAGGCTGGAGGGGGAGAAGCCCAAAGTCCCACTTGGCTGCCCTCAGAGCAGGGAGGGCCTTCCTCTGGTGCAGAGTGGGCCTGGGGGCCCCTGGCCTGCAGGGTGCTGATGTGAGAAGGCAGCGCGGGGCTCACCCTCAAACCGGAAGCATTACTTCTGGTGGATGGGGCCAAGATTTTCCTGCCCCCACAGTCTCGAATCTTTTTTCAAGGGTTGGGGAGAGCTGGGGACTGGAGCATGTGCAGGGGGTTGGGGGGGTTGGGGTGGGGGGAGGGTCTGGCCTGGAATTCAGACAGCAGTCGCTGAGGGGAATGGGGGATGGGATGCTCAAAGCCCACACTCTCTCCAAGGGTTCTTATCTACGGGGAAGGGAGGGGGAACCTGCCCAAGCAGGATCATGTGACCAAGGTAATTGAGGGCTTTGTGTCCCTCTGTTGCCTTGGTAACAGGAATATAAACCAAGATGCCGTCTGTAGGGGACTGGAACTGTGAGCCTCTGGAGAGAGGAGAGGACGGTTGGCCCAGAGCAGCGGAGGGGGTTGCCGAAGGGCTGGGCAGGCCCAAATAGGGGCGCAGGCAGCCCGGGAGGGTGCTGTAGCCCCCAGGTCTGGCTGCCTCACCCTCCCTGGCCGGGGCTGGCTTGCTGGGGCTCTAGGCAGAGGCTGTGCTCCCTGCACCCAGAGCAAAGGAGGGCTGCCCCATCGGCCTGGGTGATGGAGGGGCCCTGCAGTCCTGCTGCAGGCCAGGGGCCGGAGACCTGTGCGCAGGACCAGGGGCCAGAGGCCTGCGAGCAAAACCAGGGGCCAGAGGCCTGCGCCCAGGGCCAGGGGCCAGAGTCCTGCGAGCAGGGCCAGGAAGGTAGGGGGCAGAGGAGCCACGGGGTCCTTCAGGAAGAGGGTGGCCATGGGGGCCTTTCTTAGGGGTGGGTGGCAGACCTCACTCTGGCGGGAGGGACCTCCGAGGCAGGCTTGCATGGCTGTGTTTTGGGGTCATGGTTTCAGGAAGCTCCATGTCGCCTTTGAGTGTGCAGGAGAGCCTGTAGGGTCCAGGCAGAGCCCTGATCTTCCTTCTCTGCCCTCCTCTCTCTCCCTCGCCGCGCTCCCCAGGACCCCTGCGCTCCATGGTGGAGGACCTGCAGTCCGAGGAGTCCGACGAGGACGACTCTTCGTCAGGCGAGGAGGCCTCTGGCAAGACGAACGCTGGGAGGGATTCCAGGTGCCCGGGCCAGCGGGGAGCGAGCCGGGTGGGCGTGAGGGCGACCCGGGGTGGCTCGACCTGCCTCTGCTGCAGCTGGGGGGCTTTGGGGAGGCAGGGCCAGGAGGGCAGCGTCCGTGGAGCTCCCCCAGCCTGCCTGGGGGCTGCGTGCTCGGTTCCAGGAGGCTGAGGCTCTCTAGGCGGCCGGCTGGCCGGAAGGGCAGGGGTGCTGAGGGCACGACGTGCAGGCACCACCAGAGAAGGGAGTGAGGCAGTGCCCAGCAGCCCGGGGCCAGTCCCGGTCCAGGCTACATGGTTGAGGGGGAGGGGGACTTGTTCCTCTGCTTTGGGGCCAGGAGGCCACCTCCCCCTCCCCCTCACCCACATGGGTGGCACAGAGTGAGGACGGACTGAAAACTCTCCTGGGACCTGCAGACACCCCAGCACAGGGAGATGCTGTGGCTGCCCATTGGCCTGGGGAAGGTGACGTCTGTCCTTTCTTCGGAGCAGGGTGAGCCAGGCTCCTCCATTGGGTACCCTCAGACCCTTGGAGCGAGCCCACCTCCAGGGCGGCTGTGTGTTGTCAGCCTCCAGCCCAGAGCAGGTGTCGACCTCGGTGCCAGGCTAGCAGATCGGCTGGACCCGGGAGTCAGCAGCCTGTGTCTCAGAGAGGCTGGGCGTTGAGTCTGCACCCCCGAGGGTCAGGGAAACCTGACGGGGGGCTTGAATGGTGCTGTGCCGGTCGCGGTGGCTACCTCGCCGTCCTGAGAGCTGCGGCTGAGGGAGGCTGTAAAGGGGGTTGTGCTCTAGCGGGCAGGCTCGGGGCAGGGCAGATGGGGCTGGGCCAGGGTGGCTCGGGACCATCCCAGGCCAGGAGGAACCAATGGTGGTGTTTCCTGCCCCGCCCAGTGTGGTGCTGGCAGTGTTGCGTGCAAGGTGTGGGGGGCACTGGGAGCTGGGGGGCCCGAGCGCTCACACACGTGGCCCCCGTTCCTGAGAGGCTCCCCGAGCCGCACAGGGACCAGATGTGCATAAGCACCTTCAGTGTCCTTTTCTAGGGGCAGATGTGGAAGGTCGGGCCTTCTGGAGCGCTGGGAAAGGGGCCACATTGGCCCCGTGGCTGCTTGGGATGAGCTGACAGAACCCCACCTTGTCCTGTCTGCCTTGTGGGGAGCTGCTGTGTGGGGCCCACAGATGCAGGGGAACTGAAGGGTGTGTGGGGCACCGGGGCTGTGCCTGGGCCTGGCTGACGCCGTGTGCTGCCCGGGCGACGAGGAGACCTGCCTGCCTGCCTTCCCTCCTGGGGACCCGCAGCTGCGGGAGTTGGGGAGAGAGCAGCCTCTGGGCCCTGAAGAGAGCAGGACCTTGGGGCCTTGGGGCTGGGTGCTGCTTGTGGGAGGAGCCCACGCTCCCTCCCAAGGACGGGACAGCCCTGATCCCAGGGCAGTGAGAACAGGGCCCGGGGCTGAGGTTCTGGCCTCTGTGGGTCCCACTGCATCTCACACGGTTCCCTGGGAGGCCTGTGTCAGGTAGCGGAAGAAAGCAGCCGGCGGACCAGCGGTGCGGTAGAGGAGCTAGGCAGCCACAGCTGTGGGGCTGCTCCTTCCCAGGACGGCCCTGGAGCGTCCTCAGGGCCGGGAGGTCCTGGACAGAGTCTTCCCAAGGGTGCTGTGTGTGCGCCTGGCCCACGGATGGGCTCCCTCCACACCTGCGTCCGGGGCTTCCGGAGATTGGGGAATGCTAAAGGCAGCGGCTGGCACGTTTAGTGCAGAGACGGAGTGAGAGAGACGTGGCTCTAGGCTCATGCGTGTGGGGGATTCTGAACCCTGAGTCATCACGCCCTCCTCTCTGAGACAGCCTGACCGCTCGTCCCCTGGACAGGCTGCCCCGTGCCCCTGAGGGAGGCCTGCTGTCCAGAGTGCCGCAGCTCCACGTGCTCGGCCACCAGCAGCAGAACCCAGCCCAGCAGCAGACCACCCTCGGGTGGGTTCCGACGCAGGAGCCCTGCGCCCCCCGCCAAGCCTCTCAGGGCGCCGGCCCGCTGCTCTTGGGGCTCTGTGCTTGGAAAGCAGAGCCGCTTTCTATCGGCAGTAGCTGCCTAGAACCGAGTGAAGTCGATTTAGGGGAGCGCGGAAGCGAGAACATGGGGTGGACGCCAGGCCCACGGGGCAGCAGCCCAGGTCCCTGGAACAGTGGGTGGCGGAGGCCTGACACGGAGCCGTGTCCTGTGTTCAGGTTGAGCTTCAGTGACAGTGAGAGTGACAACAGCGCCGACTCCTGCCTGCCCAGCCGAGAGCCCCCTCCCTCCAAGAAACCACCCCCACCCAACAGCAAGGTAAGGGGGTGAGGGGCGGCCCGGGTGACCCAGTCAGGAGGAGGAGAAGGGGGTCTCTTGGGGATCAGGTCTCTGCTTCAGCCGGCACATCCTGGATGTAGGGCTAAGGGATGGCCCGTGGCCTGCTCCTGGGCTGTGGTTCTCCAAGACTTGGAGGCTGAGGCTTGATTCCCCACCCCCGCCCCCCAGACCCCAGAGAGATATCTGCTCCCCAGGATGGGCTGGCCCTGTACGGGCGGGAGGGCTTCCTGCGGGCAGGAGGAGGGGAGGAAGGCGAGAGCTCTGAGCAGACCCGGGTTTGTCCTGCAGGCATCAGGCCGGAGAAGCCCGGAGTCCTGCAGCAAGCCCGAGAAGATCCTCAAGAGGGGCACCTATGACAAGGTGGCGGGCTGGGACTGGGCAGCTGGGGGCTGGGGACCCCAGGACCCCAGAGCTTGATGTACTTCTCCCACCGGGTACCCTGTCCGGCCTTCCTCTTCCCCTGGGCCCTGAGCCAAGATGGGTGGGCTCACGGGCAGGGCAGGGTGAGCTGTCGGCAGGGGCTGGGGGCGGCTGCGGGCTGAGCGCCCATCCGCCACCCCCCAGGCCTACACGGACGAGCTGGTAGAGCTGCACCGGAGGCTGATGGCCCTGCGGGAGCGCAACGTGCTGCAGCAGGTTCGGTGCCCCGCCCCCACCGCTGGCCCTGGCCGGGAGTCCTGGGGGGGTGGCCCCAAGCATGCCTCCCAGGGAGCCCTCCTCCTCCCCCACTCCTCTCCCCTCTCAGAGCCCGCTGGGGGGAGGGCCACCCCAGACCCGCCCCCTGTTCTTGACGCCACCCTGCCACCACCTTCTAGATCGTCAACCTGATCGAGGAGACCGGCCACTTCAACGTCACCAATACCACCTTCGACTTCGATCTCTTCTCCCTGGACGAGACCACCGTGCGTAAGCTGCAGAGCTACCTGGAGGCCGTGGCCACATGACCCTGGGCCGGGTGCCGGGCCCTGTTCGCTGGGGCCCTGGGCGGCCGCATCCGGGCCCCGCCTTCCTCCTCCTCTCTCGACTCACCCACCCGCAGCACTGCCTTAGTGACCGCCCTGTCCTCGGCCCGCACGGCCAGCTGCACTTTCCTCGTCGGCTCCCGGCCCGCCCTCCCCACCACCTTAGCGGGAGCCCTGAGGCTGAGGGGGGGCCGGCCAGTGCCGCTGCTCCCCAACACGCAGGGGCCGTCCCTGCACGCCCCCCGGAAAGCAGCGGGCGTTGAAGGCAGCACTGGCCTCGCCTCAGAAGGGGAGGATAGGCGCCGGCAGTGGGGCCCTCGCTCCGCGGAGGGGCGCGTGGCCTGGTCTCACTGCCCCGGCCTCTCTGAGCAGCCAGGGCACTGCCTCCAGCCTGCCCGAACGGTTCACCCGCCCCCACTCCCCCCGCGCCCCAGGAGCGCAGAGGGCCGCAGCCCCCCGCGGGCTCTCACTGTGCTGGGACTCGTCTGTACAGTTCTCTCTAGTGTGCGTGTTTGTCTGCACTGTAGGTACCAGAGCGGCGGCCAGGAGTGCGTTTCCGTGGCAGCGCTGCACGTGGGGGGTGGGGGGTGAGTTCGGCGGGACTTTTAGGTTAAGACGTCTCCACTGGTCTGGTCGTTGGGCCGGAGGCCGAGCTGGAGCAGCACGGGCCCTCTCCAGGCGAGGGGACGAGTCGTCCTCCCGGGGCGCAGAGGGCCCTGCCCGGGGCCGGCGAACACTACGACGGGCCAGCAGGTCCGCGGGCACCCAGGGGGCCTGGGCGCGCTTGGTGCCTGGTCAGACGGGCGGCCGCCTCCAGGAGCCGACCTGGGCTCCGCGGCCGCAGGCCCTGCCGGGGCCGCCCCCTCCTCCCACGGCTCGTCCTCTTTCTCCTTCCATAGGACCCTCTTCCTTCTGCTGTTGGAGTCTTCGAACTTTGAAAAAATGAGCTTTTGCCAAATAAGACGGGATAGTTTGTGGAGTTTTTTGAGGAGTGTCAGGACTCAGAGCCAGCCCCTCGTGGCTGGGCCCAGTCAGTGGCAGGCCCTTCCGGGCACACGCGGCTCTGTCTTGGGCTCGGCCCTCCCACCCCCGCGAGCCACGCCGGTCCAGAGACCCAGCTCCTCGCATGCCTGAGACTCTCCAAGGGCCACGCCGGCCCCTCGCTCCCAGCCAGGACGCCCTCGCGGCGTCAGCCCCCTGGGATGGGGCTCCTCGGCGCGGGGTCCCTGTGTGCTCAGTCAGCCTCTATTCCCCCAGCCGTGACTCAAGGTTCCCCCGACCCCCTCCCCCGACTTTTGCCGTGAAGGAGACGTGGGGAAAAGGACTGGGGTGGGGCCCAGAGGTGGGCTCACCTTCTCCCCCAAGCCCACCGTCAGAGGGTCTCTCCTCCCCCCCAGTTCTGAGCTCCGATGCGGGGAGTGCCAGGCTCCCCTTCCCTGTGGTTTCGTCTGTGAGGCAGACCCTAAGCACTCCTGGGGGAGCCCTGCCTCCAAGACTCCCCCAGACTTCAGCCTCCCTGGCGAAGTCCCCAGAACTCGCTGGGAAGGCCCTGGAGCTTTGCAGAGGAAACCGCCATGACTCCTCGCCGTCTGCTCTGATTCTCTCCTGACCCCACTGCCTTGAGGTATTAGGAAGAGGGCAGGCCTGTGTGGCGGGCTCCGTGCCGTCACCGTCCCCTTCCCCAGGCAGGCCGACAATACTCCAAAGTGGGGCACCTTTCTTCTCTGGAAACTCTAAGACATTGGACTGAAGGAACCGGCCAGACGTGGGCTACACGGAAGGCAGCCGCTGCCCAGCCCTCTGTGTGCGGAGGCTGCTGGGGGCCACAGCCAGGAGCCTGAGCTGGTCTTTCCCCTTCGGGAGCATCTGCTGGGAAGGGCCATAGGCCCTCCCGAGCTCCATGTGGCAGCTTGGGCGGCACTCAGCTCTGGAGCCGGGCCGTGCCCAGGAAGCCGCTGGAGGAAGGCCAGGATTTGGCCTGCCCTCAGGAACAGCAGTGTCTGGCCCCTCCTGCTGTTTCTGGGGCTTTCAGAAGCACCAACCCACTTCTCAGTTACCTCCTCTGGCCAGAAGGCCCCAGTGCTGGCCCCATGACCACCCGATGGACGTGCCAGACACCCAGGGCCCCGACCCTGACCGCAGCATTCCCAGCTGCTCCCCTCCCCCCCAGCTGCCCGGCAGCTGGGCCTACAAGGGCTCTGGGGACGCTTCCATAGGAAGGGGCTGGCACTTTGTGATTGCCTCGTGTTTAGTGTTAAGCCCCCTGCCCCCAGTGCAAATCCCCGTGTTTTGCTATCTCCTGAACAAAATGTAAACCGACACCAGAAAGCAAAAGGTATCGAATACCTTTTTTACCCATAAGGGTTTTTACAAAGAATGTGTCTCACTAGGAACTAGGACACTCATCAGCCTGAGACCAACTCCTGGATAAAAGGAATAAAGGAGAATCGTGTTTGTAATAAGTTACAGGATTGTTTCTGTCCTGGATTTTAAACTTTTTGTTAAATTGTGAAATTATGGAGGAGTTTTATAGAAAAAAAAAGTGAAATAAAGTCAGATGGGAAAGAGCTGTAGAGCCTCGTGCGTCCGCTTGGTTCCTCCTGGAACAGCCAGGAAGGGGAGAGGGTGGGCGTCAAGCCCAGGCAGGGGGTGTGGGGATGGGGGAGTGTGAGCACGGTTGGCCTCCTGGAGGAATACAGACGGTACCGCTAGAAATCCAGGAGAGGGATGATGTGGAGAATTTGGTCCTGGGTCTTGTTTTGGATGGTGTGTTCTTTCCTTGGAAGCCGGCAGCAAGGTTGGGATTGAAAACCAAGCCCGACTTCACAATATGGGAGAATGGGTGTGTAGGGGGGTGGGGGGAATGGGTCGGCATGGAGGATGGGAGAGATGGGGGGTGGGGGTGGAGGGGTGAGGGGATGGGTTGGGGTGGGAGGATGACAAAGGGCAAGATAGGTGGAAAAAGGGTGGTGAAGCTTCCTTTGCTGAGAGCTGGGTGGCCTGCCTGCTGGTTTGTCCGTGGCGGCCTTTGCTCTGGACTCCGTAGCAGCCCGAGTTCTCACAGGCCCCACGTATGCAGCCCCATCCACCCTGTGAGAGCTCCGTCCCTGAGTGCCCAGCGCGGCAGGTTGGCACCCGGCCACTCTGCCCACGGCAGCTGCGAGGGAGGTGGCAGGCCCCCGCGGGGTCCCGCGGGGTCCTGGGGAGCCTGCCTTCTCAGCCTGGCCAGAACTCTGCTTCCAACATCAGGGCTCCCCCGCCCTGTCTTTCCCACCAGAGAAAGATTCTGCAAGTCCCCTGGGGCAGTTTCTGCTCTGAGCTCCTGAAGAAGGGGCAGAGAGCAAGAGAGGGTCCCCGGGGTTCCCAGGGTACGTGGAGCCCCACCACACACTGAAGGGCCGACTGCCCGGGGCCAAGAATGCAGCAGGGCGGAGAACCGTCGCATGGCCTCTTCCCGAGCCCTGGATGGCGCGGGAGCTGCCGCCAGAGTCCCCGCGGGGCGGACGGAGCGGTCCGGAGAGCTGCCGGCCTGCGGCGCCGCACGTAGGCACATTCTGAGACTTGAGCCCAGGCACGTGCTCCCGCGGCTGCACACGCGTGTTGGCCCCGGGGGGGGGGGCGCCCTGAGGAATTCTCATTAGCGGCAGGGAATTCAGTTCCTTAAAAAAAAGAAAGAAAAAAGTCTGTGTCATCCTTGGTGCGTAAAGGCGCCTCCACGGGGTGCGGAGCTCTAGGTGGGCGGCCGCGCTCTCTTCTCCCGCGCTCCAGGGCCGTCTGCCTCCCGCCGGATCGGCTGAGAAGTCAGCCCTCCAGCCTCTCGCCCCTTTGAGGCTTTGGTCTCTGGTGCCTTCAAAGTTTCCTTTTCATCTTTCATTTGGAAACAGTTGCACAACATGTTGGTGATTTGTTTCTTTCATCCATAGGACGTCTCTGTCCCCTTTCAATGCTTTTGCCTTGAATATTTCCAAATCTTACATCGTAAATGTCTATTTTGATGACTCCAGAGGAGTCTGCAGGTTCCACAGGCACGTGACCCTCATTCCTGCTTCTTTTCCGCGTCCGCTTTCTCATGCGTCCCTCGGGAGCCGCGCTCCGCTCCCGACCATGACAGTGCTCCCTCCCAAACAGCGGCCGCCCGCACACCTCTTCCCGGACGCATCTGCGAGCTCCCTCCTTAAACGGTGCCGATGCACCTTAACCCGCACCACCAGTCCTGCGGGCGGGCTCGGGATGGTTTCCCCCCCTCCCGCTCCTCTTCCGTGGCTGCACACAGCTGCACGTGGGCAGGGACGCGACTGGGTATCGGGGGTGGCGGGTGGGGGTAGGGGAACACCAGCCCTGGCCTCACCCGCCTGCCTTCCGAGGGGGCTCGTGGGCAGCAGCCTGCTTGTGCCCCCGCGCATGTTCTTCTCGGAGCATGAGATGTGGCTCTTGCGTGGCCCAGAGTTCCCCGCTTGCGCTTCCGTCCTGTGCGCGGCCCGCGGCCCTCAACACGCAGAAGCCTGACGTCCTCGTCCCACTTCTCCCTGCACCGCTGGGTGCTTATGATACAAGGTTTACGAGTTCCCTCCAGGCTCCTTCCACCAATTCAATGCTTTCTCCTCCCTTTTCTTCCCTCCCTTGCTTACGTTCTCCCCTCTCCATTTGCTCCGTCGGAACGCATCCTGCCAGGAGGCAGGGCCCCAGCCCTTTCTCCCCAGTAGCTACACGAGGCCGGGCATCCCCAGTCACAGTCAGGGGCTAACCCATGCTTCCTCCGCTTACACGAAAGGCCACTCCATTCCTGCACGCTCGTCTGTGTGCCGCACTCCTCTCCTCTGCCTGTCACTGACGCCCCCTCACTGAGCTTTTCACTACCGTGGCTTTGTCATTTCTTTATTACTAGTAGATTTCCTTCTTAGAGTTTCCCAGAGAGGCCGGCATGGTTGCTTTCCCACCTAGCCTAATCAGCCTGAGTTCTAGAACGTTTTATCTCATTATCCTGAAGTTTCCTGTTAACATTTAAGTTTCAATTTTAATTGAAAAAAAAAAAAAAAAAAGTGTCCTGGCTGGCGCTGGGTGGGTCCCCAGAGAATCCCCGGTGGCCGCTCTCTGGGTGACTGCGAACAGCGCGAGGGTGGGGGTGGGGTGGTTCCTGCAGCCTCTCTCCAGGGGGTCGAGAGCCTGGGCCGTGCCTCACCTTTCTTACGTCAGAGTGTGTGTAGTGTTCAAAGTGAAGAAACTGTGAGCTTTATCGCATCTGGTTTCAGCTTTTCCGCA